TGAAGGTAGAATAGACAGGACTTGTGAATGGGTTGGATATAGAGTGTGATGAGGAGTCAAGGATGTCTGCAAAGTTTTTGGCTAATGACAACAATGGAATGGCCACTGGCTGAGTTGGGAAAGACTTAAGAATAGATTGGGGCTGGGGTGTTGTGTGCAGAGAAATTTTGGTTGTAGACATTGTTTTAAGTGTCTTTTATACTTCCAAGTGGGGGTGTCACATAGGCATTAGCATGTATCAGACTCGAGTTCAGGAGAAAGGCCCAGCCTGAGAGCTACACGGGCGGCATCATCCTGAGACAGGAGAGTACCACGGATTGAGTGCAGACAGAGAAGAGGTACAAGGACTAAGCACTGAAGCATGCTTATGTTTAGATTTGGGGAGGTGAGCCAGCAAATGAGGGAGCCACCAGTGAGGTTGGGTTGCGAGTAGTGACATTCAAAGAAGGGTATTCCACTGGTGGATTTATTTAAAAATAAGCTAGGTGTGGTAGCTCAGGCCTGCAAATCTAGCACTTCAGGAGGCCAAGGTTGGGCAGGATCATTTGAGCCCAGGAGTTCATGACTAGCCTGGGAAACACAGACCAGGTCTCTAAAAAAAATTAAAAAATAAAAATGAGTTGGGCATGGTAGCACATGCCTGTAGTCCTGGCTACTTAGGAGGCTAAGGCAGGAGGATCGATTGAGCCCGGGAGTTGGAGGCTGCAGTGAGCTATGATGGTACTACTGCACTCCATTCTGGGTGACAGAGCAAGACCCTGTCTCAAGAAGGGTAGTCCCCTAAACCAAATGAATAATAGTTTCAAGGAGCGATGATTAACTGTCACGTGTTGCTGATAGGTGAAGTAAATGAGGGCTCAAAATGCACCAATGTAGAGAGAACTGATAGCTTCCCCCAGAGCAGGTTCAGCACGATGGTGGCAAGCCAAAGCCTGAAAGCAGTGGATCCAACAGAGATTGGAAGACGACGACGATTGCAATTCTTCCTGTGAGGTTTCCAGGAAAGTAATGCGTGATTTTAAGATGCAGGACATTATAGCTTCTTCTGCTATTGATAGTTTGACAGGGAAAATTAATCTGAGAACAATCAGATTTTAAGATGCAGGAAATTATAGCCTTTCTGTTAATGATAGGAATGTTTGAGAGGAAAAATAGGCCCTTAAGCAAGCAAGGGAGGATGGGGTCTTGGACACACATTCAACCTTCATAGAAAGGAGGAAAGGCAGAGTATAAGAAGGGGTAGTTGGTAAGGCAGTGGGATTCTGTTGAAGTTATTTTGGTTGCTCCTATTTTCTCAGTGAAATAAACTGAGGATGGGAGTTGGGTTTGGGGATTGAGAGATGAGAAAGTAGGATCGATGGGCATCCAGCGTGACCAACTTGAGGTTAAAATAACACAGGCTGCCACGGTTGTGTTTTTTCTCCAGCCACCTGGTACTGAGCAGACTCTGGTAAGGAATAGGCAGTTTTTAAAACCTGGCTTAAGGTTAACAGATACATACAACAAATGCAGAGAAGGGCAGTGGAGTGGAGGATGCAGGGAGTGATTGTAATGATGGGGAGTAGAATCTAAAGGCTCGGTAAAGAGAATCAGGAATGGAGTGGATGAAGAATGAAAAAGGTGGTTACATTTGTGAACTGTAGGGGACTGTCGTGTTTAAAAATTACTAGAGGGAAAGAGATGGAAGGATGAATGATGATGTTAAGACAGTAGGATGCTTGAGGTTGAGATTTGGGAGGTTTTCATTGGCACTGAGAAGGTACTAGTTTCTAGTCTGTCAGTCAATCCCTAATCTAGATCACTGAAAGAGTAAGTCGAGGTTAGAGTATTGTAGGGATCACCTACATATATATATACACATATGTACATCGCCCAGGCTGGAGTGCAGTGGCACGATCTCGACTCACTGTAACCTCTGCCTCCTGGGCTCAAGCAATCCTCCCACCTTAGCCTCCTGAGTAGCTGGGACCACAGGTGTGCACCACCACGCCTGGCTAATCTTTTGTATTTTTTTTAGAGACAGAGTTTCACCATGTTGCCCAAGCTGGTCTCAAAATCCTGGCCTTAAGCTATCTGCCCACGGTGGCCTCCCAAAGTGCTGGGATTACAGGTGTGAGCCACCGTGTCCAGCCAGACATTAAAATTAATTATGATAGGAATAGCTTGGACAGAATGCCATTAAGCTGGTAAGGTCAGTGTTTGAGGTAATGCAAAGGTCTTAGGACACTGCAGAGTAGTATATAGCAATCTGTTTTGTAGCTTTCATTTTTCCTTGGGTGTTATCATCCTACATACATGTTTGAGAGGTTATATAGAAACTCCATTATTGAACTCTGAGAGGTGAGCTTAGCTAAATTTGAACTGGTAATGCTTTTCTGTTAAATCCTGATTGGATCAAAGTTCTTCATTCATGAAAGAGCCTAGGCACTTAAACTGTGTTCTCAGAGAACAGAGGTATATAGATGCCATTTGGAAGCTACTATAGCCATTGAGTGACCAGATCCTAGGTACGTAATCTTTAGTGAATTAGGTTTAAGTGGACTACGCCTTTAGTGAAGGAAAAAGATAAGGTTTGGTATCTTCTGTAGGGAGCTTGCTCTTGAATGAAAAACGTTCAGTAGTTGGAAGATAGTACCTCCTGAAAACAGGTTAGTAGCCCTCTGACACAACTGGTTGGAGTTTGAGACTGGAAATCCGCATTTCTTGTTACTGTCTTCAGGAAACCCCATTCACAACTGTATCATTTGAATTATAACCACCATATTCTTAGAGTTTATGTCTAATTTCTATCTTGGCTCTGATATGCCCAGCTTCCTGAAGATACACATTCATGTTAGGTTTCTGTGAGGAATGGATGAAAAGCCGATTCACCTTTTTTGTCCCCTTTCATTTGTTCCTTGATAAGAAATCCTTCTGGAATCCATATTGCTGACAAGGCATATAAAAAAAAATCGTACACACTACACAGTTGAGACTGTTGGATCACCAAGTGACAAAATTAATATTTCTAGTTAAACAAATATTTAATGGGATACAAGAATTTGGATATTAAAAAAAAGTGTGTTAACATTAGGGGCAGTATTTAGAAATAGTTGAGCCCCCTAGAAACTAAAGAAATCTGAGGGAAAAAGCTCAAACTTCTAACGTTTTATTTAAAATTTATGGCCTAAAATTATTTAAGACCAGTGTGATTTGGTCATCTTTTCTAATAAAATATGTGTGAGCCAACTGTAACTGTAATGTTTTAATATAAAACAAGTTAATAGTTAGATGGTTCCAGGGCCTGGAGCTACTTACCTAACTAAAATGGCAGTTCCTTAAAACCTGAGACTTCCCCATTAGAGCTGTAAAAGTTCCTGCAGTTATGAAAGGGAAGCTGAAGATCTTTTCAGTTTCATTTTGGTTAAGATATTATACAAAAGATACCTACCTTGAAGAAAGCATCTTACCTGCCTCCAAAGGCAGCATGAGCCATTGGCAGAAAGGAACAGATTTTGGTTGTGGCAGAGATTTTTGACCCCAGAAGACTTTGTGTCTGAGAAGTCAAGAATCTTTAACTCCCAGGCATCTTATCAGTTTCCCAGCTCTTGCCAGTTTGATTCTATCTGGCACTTAAGAACATGTGACAGGGTTATTTTATTCAGTAAGTGCAATTCCAAAGGTTTGTGTTACTGAGGGGGATATACATCCATAAAATATATGCCCTTAAGAAGCTTGCAGCCTAATTGGGGAGATGAGGAATGCTACTTATATTTAAAATTCTAAGTGTTGTCTTTTAATAGTCTCCTCATACCCTTATATAAATAAGTACCTCAAATATATTTTAAAGGGACAGCTGACAGTAAGAACTTTGGAGAACTACTGGCTAGTCAAGAAGTTATTTGAGTAAATCACATCAATCTTACACAATGTGGAGGTTTAACTAGATGGCCTGGGGTGGGGGGGATGGTGCTTTTTCAATTTGAACTTCATAGAAAGGGGAAAAAAGCTTATACGCTCCTCAGCCCCATCCAGGAAGTTTGCTATTCTGCATTTCATGGTCTGCCCTCTACCTTTTTTTTTTTTTTTTTTGAGACGGAGTCTCGCTCTTGTTGCCCAGGCCAAGTGCAATGGTGTGATCTTGGCTTACTGGAACCTCCACCTCCTGAGTTCAAGCTATTCTCCTGCCTCAGCCTCCCAAGTAGCTGGGATTACAGGCATGCACCGCCACACCCAGCTAATTTTGTATATTTAGTAGAGATAGGGTTTCACCATGTTGGCCGGGCTGGTCATGAACTTCAGACCTCAGGTGATCGGCCCACCTCAGCCTCCCAAAGTGCTGGGATTACAGGCATGAACCACCGTGCCCGGCCCTGCCCTCTACTTTTAAGGTGAAGGACATATCATCAGGTTGAAGGAAAATCTGGATCTAGTAAAACACAGCTATCCACAGATTTGTACTAAAAATCCAGTGAAATCATTTGCAATGAAAAACTTTAAAGTAATGGTATACTGATTACTATCTTATACCAAAACGATATACTATGTATCAATATACTAGGCTATATTAGTAAATGACTGAGTCAAGAGAAGATTTAAAATAATATACATAATGGGATAACTGGACTACTTGCTGGGAGTCACCTGGAACTACTACCCAAAATGCAGTCTGGGTAGGTCGGGGTCAGGCACCCTGGGAGAGTGTTGATCACAGTGTCATGAGTTTCCTTCTAAGTTTCCTCTTGTTCCCCTCCTCACCCGCCATAAACCCAATCCTTAAAGTTATAGCTATTAACTCAAGACTCAGAAGAAATATTCTTAGTTGCCCATATGATAAATATTGAAACAGGACTCTGTAAGGATGGTCTAGTTAGCCACAGGCATTAGACAGTGGCTTCCTGTGACATATCAGAGGGTGACTATAGTTGTCCTCCAAAATGTGATTAGGGTCACCATTTAGATGATTTGACTGCCATTTGCTTGCACATTAAACAAGGAAAACCAGGCAGAAGAACCTTATAAACGTTTTTAGTAAATGTTTATTTTTTGTATTCCTTAAAAACAAAACAAAAATCACAAGTTTGATACTAGTCCTTTGAAATATTGTACACCAATCAAAGCCACCTTACTCATGCAGCAAGTTGGTCTATGTTCTCTTTACTTCTGTTTGCCAGATGATCCTCAATAATTTCTGCAAACAGATTCCTCTTCAACAGATTATATGCAAGAGGTAACAGCTGGCCAGCAACTTTATGAAAATACTGAAAAATAAAAAAATAACATTAAATAGAGAATATAGCAGATATCCTAATAAGTAGCAGAAAATGTATCAACAAAGCACTTGTTTAACAAAGGCTGCTTCCAAAATCATTTTAGCTACACCTTCAAGTGGTTAGTGAACATAATTTCAGGACAGGCGCCTGGCACTCTAAGAGGCAGTCTTGTTGCTCCAGATGACTAATGGCATATCTTCAAAATTAAGAAAACCAAATTAAATCTGAGCTTCCTTATTCCCTCAGGTTTTATCAACTTTTTCTCACCCCAAACAATGCCCACAAATACTTTTATTCTCTCTGGTGTATTCCCAGTCAAAAGTTTAAGCTTTATTTCCCCTATTAATTCTGTAAGAATAGCTATGCTGAAAGTGAGTTTTCAGATCATATTGCCTTTATCCTCAAATTCCTTCTCTCCCTCATCCCTAACATGTACCGCCTCCCAATCCCTGTTAAAAGTCACTGCCTTAGGCTTATCAAAAGATTTTAGATTACTGCTATTATCTACATATACCACCTTTTTGCTGATCATAATAAACATTTAGCCCTTAATATGTGGTAAGTACTGTGCTAAACCTTTTTATAACTCATACACGTTCTTTCATTCTCACAACAATCGAGTTTGCTATTCACTGGTTCACATCTTATGGCTCTACTTATTTATGGCTAGGGCCTCTCTAGGTCAAGTACTATTTGGACTGGTCAATGACTTTCATTCTGGCTGTTAAACATTTTGATAAGTTTTACTGATAACTATCTATGAGGTGGGCAAAGAAAAGTAGTATAATACGGTTTATAGCAGGGTTCTCAAAATTACACCCCTGACCAGGAGCATCAACTTCACTTGGTAACTTGCTGGAAATGCGAATTCTCAGGACCCACCCTAGAACTCCATCAAACTTGGGGAGGGTGGGGAGAGCGCCAGTGTGCGTTTGGACAAGCCTTCCCAGTGACGCTGATGCATGCTAAAGTTGGAGAGCTACTGGTTTAGTTTTGCCCCTCTCAGTGTGGTCTGTAGAGCAGCAGCATGACCGTCACCTGGGAGGATGGCAGTCTCAGATCTCATCCCGGACCTACCGATAGAGTGCATTTTAACAGTGTCTGCAGGTGAGTCACATGCGTTTTACAGTCTGGGAATTACTGCACTGATTTAGGCACTGACTCTGGAACCAGACTGCTTGTGTGAACCTGGGCAAGATGCTTTCCCTCTCTGTGACTTGGTTACAAAGTAGGTTAAATGAGAATTAAATGATCTGCGGATGGGTGTGCACTCGTGCACATGTGCAGACATATCTTACAGGTAAAGAAACAGATACAAAGGTGTTGGAAAGCTTGCCCCATCTTACACACTGGGAAGACGTGATTTACAACCAGTCTGGCCCCAGAAACATGACATGCCCGCTACACCTTATTGCCTCTTTGACCTTCAGGCAACTATGGTTGAGTAAGCACTGGTTTAGGTATTAAGTAAAATTTTCTTATTTAATGAACAATTAGTTAATGGTAAAACAGCATCTCTTATAAAGCTTAAATAATTTAAAGTGTATCTTTCATCTAAGAATTTAAGCACAATAACAAATATCCCCACCACAATGGAAACGAAATGGAGCCTAAGGTGTGTGCACACACCCCCATACCTAGCCCCAAACGTACACACACAGCAAGAAGGCACGTCCCTATAATGTGTCTAATAAGTAAATTCACTTTAATGTAAGCATGAAGGCAAATAATCTTGGTTATTCACCTTTGCCAGAATAGAAGATGAATTTAAAACATTTTTTGGACATCTACTTTTAAAAAAATCACTTTAAAACCTTCATTTTGAAATACCAGCTGAATCCCTATCTTACCTCTGCTGGAATTTGGGGGTATAAATGTGCATGTATTCATGTGTGGATGTATGTCGCAAGGACAGGAGGGAGATGTGGCAGTGGGTACCAGGTGGAGGATTTTTTTACTCACATGTGAGCCATAGCAAAAGAGGTCCATTCCCAATTCAAGCCCCATGCCATAATCACATTCATCATTAGCAAACTGCACAAAAGTCATCATTTCCTGAATGGGAGCAAAAGCTTTTAGTCTCTCCTCGTCATTTGCAGCCTCAACTATTGCCTTGCAAATTCTCTTGAGGTCAGCTGAAAGAAATCAATAATATAAAAGATTATCTACACAGTTAGAAAATGAATCAGTCTTCAAAGATAAAAAGACTATAAAGAGGGTTTTTCCTCTTAAGACTTTTTATACTAGTACAACTTGTGCCACCTTGGGTAGTAATCTGCAGCACTTTAATTTAGAATGGCAATTTGGTAATTTTTCTACTTAGGATTCAAGCTTAAAAACAGGTTAACTAGCATTTCTTTATTAGCGACTATTTCACAGGATTTAGTTCCAGTCATGAACTCGCCAGGCTGGAGTGCAGTGGCACAATCTTGGCTCACTGCAACCTCTGCCTTCCAGGTCAAGCAATTCTCCTGCCTCAGCCTCCCAAGTAGCTGGGACTACAGGTGCACGCCACCACACCTGGCTAATTTCTGTATTTTCAGTAGAGACAGGGTTTCACCATGTTGGTCAGGATGGTCTCGGTCTCTTGACCTCATGAGCTGCCTGCCTTAGCCTCCCAAAGTGCTGGGATTACAGGTGTGAGCCACCGTGCCCGGCTACAGTCATGATTTTTTTAAAAGTCTATTCCATGAGTAGATCATGAGATTACATAACTTTTCAGCAGACTAGTCCAGGAGTTGGCAAATTAGGCAGGCAACTCTTCTTACTTTGGATAGTAGTATGCAGTCTACAGTCAGAAAACCAAGTATGAAAAACAGTGCCCTCAGCTGGGTGCGGTGGCTCACGCCTATAATCCCAACACTTTGGGAGCCAAAGCAGGTAGATCACTTGAGGTCAGGAGTTCAAGACCAGCCTGATCAACATGGTTGAAACTCTTTCTCTACTAAAAATACAAAAATTAGCTGGGCATGGTGGCGGGCGCCTGTATTCCCAGCCACTCAGGAGGCTGAGGCAGGGGAATCACTTGAACCCGGGAGGCAGAGGTTCCAGTGAGCTGAGACCCTGTCATTGCACTCCAGCCTGGTCGACAAGAGTGAAAAAAGAAAAGAGAGGAAAGATGAGAAAGAGGAGAAAGACGACAATGAGGAGAAAGACGACAAAGAGGAGAAAGAAAGAAAAGAAAGAAGAAAAGCGTTATTGTGAGAAGCTTCAAAGGGTTAAGAACAAACTTAGTTGTGATTTGCTCATCATTGTGATGTTAACAAACGGTCAATTATACCTCCTGGCAAACGACACTAGGCAAGAGCAAGAAGATTAGGTCCTTCACTTTTATGTTTTGCTACACTTCAAAACTAATTAAATACAGAAGGATCTAATGGCTAGAATATTAAACTTGGATATAAAACCCTAGAACCACAACTACAGTAGGGTAACAGGCTTTACTCCCGGGTACTACAATTTAACATCCATCACCCCAAAAGTTTTAGAGACTGCCCATCTCTACAACAAATGTGTTCAACCTTTCCCAAAAGAGACAGTAATCATGCTTTTTAAAGCTCTCTCTAAGGACAGACATGAAGAGAAGATGACTTAGTGTAGAAGCTGAAGGCTGACCAGTCTAGGGCCCACACCGGTCCCATCAGAGACTCATTGCCTCTGGCTTCAGAGAAGATATATAGGACAGATCAGCCTGTCTAACAGAAATACAATGTGGGCTACACATTTTTTCCAGTATCCACATGAAAAAAGAAACAGGTGGGGCAGGAGGAGGAGTTAAAAAAAACAACAAAAAACAGGTGAAATTAAGATATTTTATTTAACCCATATTTCCAAAGTAGTATTATATCAACATATAATCAATGTAACAAATATTTAATCCTATTTTAATTTACAAACTTAAACTAATTAAAATTATATTAAACTTACACTAATAAAAATTACAGGCCCGGTACAGTGGCTCACACCTATAATCCCAACACTTTGGGAAGCCGAGGTGGGTTGATCACGTGAGCCCAGGAGTTCGAGACCAGCATGGGCAACAGAGTGAGACCCTGTCTCTGCAGGACAAAACAAAACAAAACAAAACAAAACAAAACAAAAAAAACACCAATTAGCCAGGCATGATGGTGCACACCTGTAGTCCCAGCTACTCGGGAGGCCGAGATAGGATAATTGCACCACTGTGCTCCATCCTGGGTGACAGAGTGAGACCCTGTCACGCACACACACAAATAAAATAAAAAATAAATAAATAAATACAAGTTACAAATGTTGTTGCAGTCGCCACATGTGAGGCACTCAGTGGTCATCACACTGGACAGCTCAGCCACATTCATCTTCCCTATGACACTCCTCTAAGAGGCAGGGGTACAGCGAAAACAGGTCCATATGAATAGCTGCCATCTAAGTCATCTCTATCTACTGGCTGGAGACGCTGCACAGTAAAGTTTGAGAAGAACTGCTTTAGAGAACTGGTTTAAATGCAGATGTCCAGGTCACAGCCCCAGAGACTGGTAACTACCAAGGCTAGTTAGTTCTGTTCTGAAAAATAGGTGGCCAAATACGTGCGTTAGGCAGGAATACGTGGTTCCTTGAGAAGGTGCTAAGTTTGATTTCCCTTTAAGTTTTATCCTCCCAGAAGAGGATGATCAATAAAGGAATACCAGAAGGGCTGTTCACAATAAGGGAATGGAGACGAGGGGAAAAGAGTTGAGAAGCAATTTTAATTCTGGATGTTCAGTGTAGCAATAACTACGTTATGTGCAGTGGTCCATTTTGAAAGTGTTTTTATACTTATAGATGAAGTAGTTCGGGATCTTGGGCTTCTGAAAGCTAAATCACTTTTATATGCCGATGAAAAAATGTTCACAAAGAACCATAAAAACACACACAATTTCAATAATTACTATTTTGCAAGTTGACTGTAACGTCAAAGGTTAGGAAATAGTTCCCAGGAAGTAGGCAACCGGTTAAAATTACTTAAATTCTTAAAAATAACTACCAAATTTTGAGCACTGAGGCAAGCATTTTGCTAAATATCTTAATACTTGTTTATGCCCCAAATTCCTTTATGAAGTGCAAATGATTAACTTCATTTTTACAGATGAAAAAGACAAGGTTTCACAGGATTAAGTAATTTGTTCAAGGCCACACAGCTACAAACTCGGTTTTAATTCAGGAATGACAGACTCTAAAACCTAAACTTACTCTTTATTACTAAAGTCTAGTGACTGTGTCACAAAAGATATATGGACATATCTTCTTCCCAATACAAGCAAAACTTTCCTCCACATGCATTAACATATATGCACATGTTTACATATGAAATACCTTACCATCTGTTTCAGGGAGCTCTCGGTACCCAACATCATTTTTATCTACTGGAACAACCAAGCCTGCACCATGAAAGGTCTTTGTCACAACCTATGTTAAAGAAAAGAATAAAATGTAATCATGGCAAGTAGACATCAAAAAAATAAACAAACAAAAAAAAAACCCCAAATACATAACCCTCAACATTACTGCCAAAATGTAACATTCAATGACATTTTATTTCAGTAAATGTGAACTCCAGGGTAAAAATTTAACACTATTTTTTTCTTGAAAAGTAGCTAAAAGTTAAACACTTGAAGTAACCACAGAACTGTGAAATAATTGGCTTTTCTTAATTGTGCCAGTCACTTGGAAGTCTGCATCCTGATTTGTTAAGGAAGAACCCAATACATCCTAGAAGGCAAGCCAAAATATCGGCTTCCTCTACGGTCAAAGTACCTTCTTGGTAGAAAGCACAGAGGAACCTGCATCTAAAAGAAAAAGAGTAAGGAACAGTTTTTGTCAGCAAGAAGACATGATAGGACAGGACTCTTCTTATCCATCCTGCCAAATTCAGACCCCCCTATTTTTACCTGGAATATTTAGGCTTGTTTGCAAACTTCCCAAAAGTAGGGCAGCTTCTAGGTTTGCGGTGTCCTTTATGGAGGCAAATCACATAACCAGTGAGCTTTCATTAAGTGGTAGTCTTCAAAGACAAAAACAGGCCCAACTACAACTACCACCATAACCCTTCCAGTTTCCATTCTTCCTGTAGCTCATGTTAGTGGCATTATTTTTAGGTCTTTCCTTAGCAAAACATTTGTACAAATATTCTACTTCTTTGTGCAATTCAGTGAAAAGTTTCCAAGGCAGAGGAAGGACACAACCCAAAAACCAAACTCTAATTTTAAAGGCCTCTCACCTAAGTCTCTATATCGTAAAGCTTTTTTCTCTCTCATCTCCCTATTCTCCCAGTCTCTTGCTTTTTTCATTATCCTTTATTAAGCTGCCAGAAAGGGTAGATTATTCAAAGGAAGTTATCAGAGAACTGCTTACCACTTGGGAAAAAAATGAAGTAATTGTCTTCTATCTTAATCTTTCTATCGAGATAATCTACAGCTGGATTTCAGAATTAAATGTAAAAATAAAACCACAAAACTACTAGAAGGTAAATTTAAAAAAATAATTTTGTGATAGAGAAGAGTTGACTATATAAAAATAAAAAGTCTATCCAGTGAAATCAAGTACACAAGACAGACTAACTGATAAAATATATCTGTAAAATGTAACAGTAGATAAAAATTAATGTCTTTAAACTATAAGGGAGTCTAACCAAGGAAAAGACTAATATCCAAATTAGAACACATGTAAGAAAAAGACTAATTCTAACCCTGATAGAGAAATGGGCAGAGTTCAGGCAGTTGAAAAAAAAAAAAAAATGGCCAACAGTGAAAAGTATTTAATGTACTTTATAATTAAAGAAATTTTAATTAAAACAGTGAAAAATTTTATACCTACCAGCATGGAAAAAACTAAAAAGACTAAAGAAAACCCCACAAAATGAGAAACAAGCAAAGAAAAACTATAAACACACATACACACATACACACACGAACTACTTTGGACCTGGCAATACTATGTCTAGGAATTTCTTCTAAAAAAATAACCAGATAAGTATGAGACTAAAGGTGTAAAAGGATATCTACGGCAGGATTGTATTTGTGAAAAATCTTAAGCAACCCAGACTTTGAACACCTAAGCACAGTATTCTGCAGCCACTCAAAATTATGAGGTAGATCTTAAATTGGCAATATGAAATGATAAACATACCATATTCATAAGTGTAAAAAGCAGGACATAAAGCAGTGATAACGAAAGAAAAAGACAGCAGTGCTATAGTTGCCAACTCAGGCTGCCCAACATACAGCAAGAATGACGGTATATGTTCAGATTTTTCACAGATGATTACCTGTACTAATTGTCCATAAAGAGGTATCAATTAAGAAGTCAACAGAATCATAATTTTATTAAGAAATTAAGAAGAATAAGATTACAAATTTAGAAAACCTGTATAGGGGTGGGTGGCATCCTGAGGCATCGGATCACAGGTGGATGGAGTGCCACACCGTCATTTTAAGCATCATTTAACCAATGTTCCTTATGAAGAAATCTAGGTATGGAAAAGGTGAAGTGGCAGAGAGCCAATTAGTAAGAAGATGGGGTGGAAAGAATGCTAAATATGGAAACTATGAAGTTGGGTTTTACATGTGTCATTTAAGATTTTGGACAAGACACAAAACCTCTATAACCTTCAATTTACTCATCTATAAAACAGGATAATTCCAACTTTGCAGATTTGTTGTAGAGTCAAATGATATAACTCATAAAGACTCTGCATTCCAAAGTACGCTCTAAGTTACTGTCAGTATAAAAACACTGATTTCTAGTGTGCTGCACAGTGCTGTATCATACTTGAGTGAATATATTCTTACGCTCACACAGAAGAACAAAGCCACTAACTCACATATACTAGTGGGATTGAATTCTTCAGTAGAAAAATATGAATTCAATGAAGCGCTCACAAAAACAATAAAAGAACAACCTTACATATAACAGAAAAGGGTTTGAAAGCATAATCATCAACAGGGGAGGATTAAAAACATGATTGTCTTCTAAGTTCTGTTTTGTCTTTGTTTTTACCAGCTGTTTTGTATAACAAACAAATACTAAAATGAAACTTCATGGGGGAGGGGTCTAGGACAAAAACTCAATCATATCTTATTTATGGGGAAGGATTAAGAAAATCTCCTCTGAAATAAAGTATAGCTTGTGGTAGAAAAAGAAAAAAAGACTGATTAAATAATTTGCTAACAGCTATTATGTGTATAGATGCTCAGACTTTAGTCAAAACAAATTAGGAATACATTAACTAGGTTACAACTACCCTTCCTCCCAGTCACAAAGGGGGAGAAGCTTCCTATGATAACTAGAAAGGTGAAGAGCAATATAAAACCTTTTTTGAAAATGCCATGTTGTAATGCGTTTCATTAAAATGTACGTTTTAAGAAACTTTCCAGTCTATAGGACTAAAGAGTGCCTAGAGCTTATCAGAATATCACCCTTGCAGCTGAATCAAGATCAGAGAGGGAACTGAAGTAGGATTTAAAACCTAAGTACACTAAGGTACTACATGACCAGTGCTCGTTTATTAAGGAATAACAAGTTCTCCATTTAGCTTAGAACATTCAGATGAACCAGCAAGGGCAGACAAACGGTGAGAGGCTAGAGGAGACTTGGGAGCCCTCATTCCAGTGACAAATGGTTTTCTTCACCAGAGGCCATAAGAACAAACTCCTATAGAATTCTCATTTACTCCAAACCAGAAATCTTCCAGCTTGTCACTAACTTACTCTGAAATCTATAGCTGAAAAACCAAAAGAACCCAACACTAACAAGTATTTGCTCCTTTACAAAATACTCCCCTCACACTACAGACACTACGAGAGACGCAAAAGGAAATGATAGGATTAATAAGGAAAAAGAAAGAAGCACTGCTTATATAACACATTTACTGGAGAAAATGTATGTAAATTTCATTAGGTACAAAGCAGCTTTCACTTAATTTTATGAAGTGATTAACGGATAAACAAGATTAAAAGAGTGGTAAATACTGGCATACCACAGCAATGTTATCACCAGTTGTGCAATTCAGTGTGCCAACCCAAAGGAGCCATCTGACCCCTGTTTCAGTGTCATCCTCCTAGCACCCCTGAGGGACAGCATCCAGCTCTTAAGACAGGGCTAGGAAGAGAAGGGGAAAGTAGAGATGGGAAGGAATCAAGAGGGGAAAAAAATCCACTATAACAAAACAGAGACCAACAGGCTGAAGTCATACTTTCTTATCTCTCTGTTTCATCTTCAAGGTTCTCTGTTCAAGCGAGTACCCCCATTCTCTGGCTGCTTCTGTGAGTTTTTCATCTATGTTTTTCAAGAGATTGATTTTCTTTTTATCTGTTACTTCTTTAAGTTTTTTCGTCAAAAATAATCTGAAAAAGAAGTAAACGTCCTCATTACGTGGCAGGTCACTGCACTAAGTACAAAGACCTTTGGAAGTTTAGCCAAGTTAAAAATATCAAATTCTATGCAAGAATAAGTCCACAGAATAATTACCAACACTTCTGTCAAAATCCCTCATAGTTTTTGTCAAATAAGAGAAAAGCAATATTCATAAAAAATTGCCAGTCACAGAAAGAGCAAATATGATTCAAATTTATGTTAGTACTCTAATGTCTACAATAAAAGTATAAGGGATATTTACAAAGCTGAGATTAGTCAAGTTTTAAATTGTATCACTTGACACTAAGATATGGCATACTACTTTGGAGAAGTCTGACCTACCAGAAACAAGAAATCAGAAAAAGTTTTCAGGGACTGGGCGTGGTGGCTCATGCCTGTAACCCCAGCACTTTGGGAGGCCAAGCTGGGCGGATCACTCAAGGTCAGGAGTTGGGGACCAGCCTGGCCAACACAGGAAAATGCTGTCTCCACTAAAAATACAAAAATTAGCTAGGCATGGTGGCACACACCTATATTCACAGCTACTCAGGAGGCTGGGCCAGGAGAATCACTTGAACCTGGGAGGCAGAGGTTGCAGCCAATCAGTCAGCCAAGATCGTGTCACTGCACTTCAGCCTAAGAATGTCTCAAAAAAAAAAAAAAAAAAAAAAAAAATTTTTTTTGAGATGGTGTTTCATTCCTGTTACCCAGGCTGGAGTGCAATGGCAAGGTCTCAGCTCACTGCAACCTCTGCCTCCTGGGTTCAAACAATTCTCTTACCTCAGCCTCCTAGGTAGCTGGGATTACAGGTGCATGCCACCACGCCCAACTAACTTTTGTGTTTCTAGTGGTGACAGGCTTTTACCATGTTGGCCAGGCTGGTCCCGAACTCCTGACCTCAGGTGATCCATCTGCCTTGGCCTGCCAAAGTGCTGGGATGCGCCCGGCCTTTTTTTTTTTTCTTTTCCATTTTTAAAGAGACAGAGGACACTATTATAACACTTAAGGTCAATAGATTTTTTTTTTTTTAATGTTGAAGTTTGTGTTAAGAAAAATTTAGAAAACGTAAAAGGAAAGCAAAGCTACTTTGTAAGCTTATACAAAAGCATAAGCCAAAGTAGTTTTCAAAAGTATGTGAATATACAGCATGTTAACGCCACTTATGGAAATAATTTTATATCTTATCATAAACAGGTTAAGATTTTTGCCATCAATCTAAAAGGTCAGGAGTAAGATGCAGAGCGGGAAGGGTGTGCCAGACCCCCAGGAAGAAAGCTGAGGGAGTAACAGCTCCTAGGGAGAAACTCACTTCTATTCACTGCCAACATCTGAAAGTTTGTAGTATTCCTTACAACACTGTTATCAAAGGGCTTAGAACATTGAGAGTGGGTGCTAGTCTTAGCTTCATTGTACTTATCAGGAAAAAAAAAAGGCACAGAGGATAATCAACTTACCCAAGTTGAGAGAGCTAGTTGATTAAACCAGTAGAGTTACCAGTAGAACTGGTAGATTAAAATGCCACAGAAATCCAAGCCATCAAAATCTAACTTCTGATTATAGCACAGTTACACTAAGTCTTACCTTCAATTATCACCAGCTGTATGTCTAGAAGATATGTTTATATCAACCATAAAATGCGGATTTGATCACATCAGTCCCATGTGAATCAATCTTTACAGTCTTCCTCAACACTCTGGCATGGCATATAGCCATTCAAGTACCCTGTGCCATGTATTTCCACACTTTCACACACATACTGCTCCCTTACCTAAAGCATCCTTTTTCCCATTCTTTCTAGTAAGTTCTTAGGCATCCATCAAAGCCCACATAGAATATCCTCTTTTACCTCCGCCACTACTGAAGGCACTTGGTAGCTGCCTTCCCATACATATGACATTATTATGACTATCTCTGGAAGTTTTTGTCTCTACCGAAACCTACTCTAACACTTTCCTGTGTGATGCTTAAAGATAAGCTGCAATGTGCAACTGAAGCCATAACCATGAACATGAACATTTTGTGCTGTGACTTTAAACCCATTAGAATGTATTTAACGCAAATACATCATAGGTACGAATTTGTACCTATGCATATTATATGGCATCATGCAATGGCCCTTTGGAAATAGTGGCTCACTAAGTTATACAGATGGAAGTGTTGAAACTTATGTATCAAATTCACTCCATTACATAACATTATGAACAAAAAGCGATTGAGCTCACAGTAGTATTACAAGTTTCTCAATCTAATTTTTATTTGAAACCTGGAATTTTATCACTGGCAAAAAATATAGTCAGTCAGTTGTTTTCTTTGGTTCATTTGGGAGAATTACTGCCAGTATCTACACCCAAATAACCAGAGTTTGTCAATGAGTCACTCTTTCTAAAATTGGGGAAAAGTTCATCTCAAAACTCAATCACACAAGGGCTTTTTTTCCCCCTTGAGACAAACCACAGTACTTCAGTATGAGAAATGCTTTCTATGTATTTCCTATTTCATCACAGAATGTTAAAGAGATGTACTCAGTGGCAGACATCTAATACATGTATACTCCATCACTGACTTTACTCAGGCACAGGGTCTCGCTATGTCGCTTAGGATGAGCTTGAACTCCTGGGCTCGAGCAATGCTCCCACCTCAACATCCTGAGTAGCCACCACGCCTGGCTCCATCACAAACATTTTTAAATACATTTGCATGTTCCTGCTGTGAATAATGCAACGACTGCTGCTACTCTGGTGGCACTATCTTGATTCCTGCCAAGGTGACAACAGTATTATCCACCATTACCTTTGTGCCATTGGTGCAAAAGTAACATTTTATTATCACAAATAGTTTTGACCCTAAGGGTCCCTGACCCAAGGTCAAAACTATTTACCTCAGCTATTTTAGGAAATAAGGCAGAAGGAAAAAAAAAATTCCTAATTTTGTTGTTCAAAGATATTTAAAAATTATGTTTACTTCCATATGCATTAGACAGTATGAAATGGAATCATTCTACACTATTGTTATTTGCCCACTTCATAACAAATTCAACAAATCAATAACAAGGTATTATAGTATATGGATAGTTTACATTGACTTAATCTTCCCTATTGCTGGATATGTTGCCAATTTTTCATTTGATAAACAATCTGTAATAAATACACATATTTCTGTACCTGTCCAAAATCCCTTTAATAAATAGCTAGAAGTGAAATTGCTAAGTTAAGGGTATAAATGTGTACTTCACACAGTACCTGGCAATGTCACCTATCAAGAAATCTTAGAATATGTCTTTTTAAACATTTTTCAAACTGCTTTCCACAAAAGTTTTACCAATTAACACATCAGTAAGGGTTCTTATACCCTAACCATCACTGGTTATGACCATTCTTTAACCTTTAAAAAAAATCTTTGCTGGCTTAATTTGCATTTCTTTAGTTACTATTAAATCTTGCAGACACAAGATTTAATAACAACTAAAGACAATAAAAATGTGTTGATCAAAGGTATGCCTTGAAAGACCTTACTCAGTCTGCCATAAAAATAAATTTTTAAATATATAAAGAAATTAAGTGTTCTGATTAGCTGATTTAAGGAGGTGGTACCCAAAAAACTAAAACCGTTATTATACTTAGAAATACTAAAATAGTTATATCTCAAGTAACTTTTTACCCCTGTTTTTGAGATAAATTATTGGAGGCAGTTCCTCAAACACTCACTTGCTGATCTTCACCTAAATTATAAATATTATCGCTCATGTATTTTTTTTTCTTTTTCATTGTCTGTGTTCTCCAATTAGCTTAAAAAAAAAAAAAAAAGATACCAGAAGAGTCTTGGGTTATGTTAGATGACCACTACTATGTTATCTTTCTTTTTAAAAAAGATTCAAACATGACTAATAATACAAATGAAAAGTTAGGCTTGTTTTTTAAAAAGAGACAGTCTCACTATGTTACCCAGCCTGAAAAAATTAGGTGTTTCTACATGCCAAGGTATTTATAGAATTAATATTTACGGAGCATCTACTATGGGGCAGATACTGTGCACAAAACAAACCCTCTGCCCGCGTGGAACTTACATGCTAGTGCAAGACACAGATAATAACCAAGAAAACAAGAGTTTCTAATAAAGATGGCACCAATTTAAATTGAATGGTAAATCCGAAGAGTTTAAAAGAAGTTATAAATTACAAATACCAAGCAACATTTTATAGGAAACTGAGAGGTATTAGAAAAGAAAGAACATTTTTGGACATCTACAATGTAGCTGCCCTGTAGATAAACCAGGATGAACGTAGCATAGTCTAGTGGTTGTAGTAGGCTGATTTAGTTTGAATTCACTTTACTGCAAATTTATATTATCAAATCCCAGGGAACAAAAACCCTTTAAAGAGAGAGTCAAAGAAAGAGACTTTTTAAAAGAGGTCAAAGAAAAGATAATCTACTTGTATTTGAAGCGATAGAGTTTGCTTTCTTCATTACAATGCAAACTACACAGCGGCTGACAAGTAAAATGGCTTCAAGTCATGTCTGTGGCTGATACAGCAGACTGGCTCACTCAGCTCTATTCCAACCACTTCCCATGAAAGTTTGCTGCATTTCCCTTACTACTCTCCAGCTCAGGCTCCACATGGGACCTAGCTTCTTCCAAGCAGCTGCAATACTTTAAAATCTCTGAGGCAGAAGAGATATCAGGTGGAGGCTGTGCTTCCACGATCTCCATCAGTGAGCACAGCTGTAGAGGCATCTGAGGGTTCTGCAGCAGCTGTAGCTGAGATCCCAGCACCTGGTTCTTAGCCTCAGGCAGGCTGAGAGGCAAACCGTAGGGCATCCATTTACCTGGCCCAGATTAAACCAAAGATAATGTGGTCCTAGAGCCACTCATTGTGGCAGCAGTTCTCGATTTCCCAGCTTCTTGATGGTGGCAGAGACATAAAATCCACTGTAAGCCACACAACTGTCATTCCTGGAAGCTCAGCCTGCTCCCTCAACCCTTCCAAGGATTTTATGACCACCTCTTTTTACTTTATTAAGCCTTTCTGTTTGAACGGTACACAAGTAATGAACTCTTAACAAGCGTTTAAAATCAGATGTCTAACAAAACTGTTCATGTTGCCATGGAATACCTGAGGTCAAGTATTATTTTCTTTAAGTAAAATAGTTACATAAGAGGTGTATTTTTTGGTGAAGAGTGACAAAATAACAATATAGATAAGACTACCTGCAAAAGTCATGGAAATTATCTCTAAAAATCTACAATTACGGGCTTGCCTCAAATCCGCTTTGTTTTTTATGGAGACAGAGTCTCACTCTGTCACTCAGGTTGGAATATAGTGGCGCAATCTCGGCTCACTGCAACCTCTGCCTCCCGTGTTCAAGAGATCCTCCTGCCTCAGCCTCCTGAGTAGCTGGGATTACAGGTGTGTGCCACCATGCCCCCAGCTAATTTTTGTATTTTTAGTAGCGATGGGGTTTTCCCATGTTGTCCAGGCTGGTCTTGAACCCCTGATCTAAGCGATCTGCCCACCTCAGCCTCCCAAAGTGCTGGAATTACAGGTGTGAGCCACTGCGCCCTGCCCCTCAAACCCCCTTTGTAATGAACTCATATAGTATAAACATGGTAAACAAATATAAGAGAAATTGAAATAAAATATTCTTACTTGACTGCAGCAAATACATTATCTCCATTTGGAACAATTATACAATTTTTCTTTGCTTCATTTATACCAACATATACAGGAAGTTCATCAGGAGAATCCCTGTGTAAGCAAAAGACATTAAAAATTTAGCTGCCCTTAATTTATATTATCAGGCAAGTGGGATTTCAGGTCTATAGACAACAATTTACACCTTTTTTTTTTTTCCTTTTTTGAGGCCTTTTTTTTTTTAATCATACCAAAGTTTATTGATTACATCAAACAAAAATGTCTGTAATGGAAAAGGCAAGTTGCAGTCATAAAAGATGGCATTCACATTCATTTCAGAAAGCAACAACGGAGATGTAAAAAATTGCTTAAGTGAAAAATGTAATATTGCGTCCTATTTTGCAAGCTGAAAAATTATTTTGTCAACACGCATAAAATCTGCACATTTACATATTACATGTTAAAAAATTCCATCACTACAGTATTATAAATATTGCAAAGTTAGGCTTACATTTATACTGTTGCTGGTGTATATGTAGTAGATATGGAATGTTTTCAGTTTAGTAGGTAACAACCTCAAACAATGAACAATAGGTGCAAAAATTACAAAGACATTTCAATAGCTCAAAATTATTCAAATTATAGGTACATCATCCTATTATTATACTTTTTTCTCTTTCTCTGTCACAAATAGGATGATTACATTGTAGTGCTAGGAATACAGCATGGTCTACTTCAAATTATTTGATCTGCTAACCCCACACTAGTCATTTGTTAGCTCTTCAGTAAAATATCTTTTAAAAAGGAAGGCCAGGTCCCTCCCAAGGATCTAGGTTGAGGCCTTTTTTTTTTTTTATAAGGGCATTTTTTTTTTTAAATGAAACAAAAGTTTTAAGCTCCAAGTTTCTTAGGAATATCTATGATAAATCTTATATAACGGAACCTAAAACTAAGATTCTTAGGACCTAGTTGCTTTTATACTCAAATACAAAAAAAAAAAAAAAAAGGAAAAGCAAGAAAAAGGATTGTAAAACATTAGCGATGAAAGGATCTTATTAATGTGTATAACCAAATCCTTTTATTTTAAAATTGAGGAAACAAATACTGAGAGGTTAAATCACTCAGCCAAGGTCCTAGTAAGTTAGGACGCTGGCTACAGTATAATTCAATTCATAGCCCCATGTGCATTCTACTGTACTACAACACTTCTCCCTGGGAATGTTCCTTTTATTACCTTACATTTAATCTTCACTTTAAAGAATAGCATCTCTACTGGTACAAATGGACAAATTTTCCTCTTGCAGTTTCTCTATTTCTTAACATTCTAAGTATTTTGTACGCATTCATTTAATTCTCATAACATTCCCATCAGGTATGTACAGTTATCCCTATTGTTACAAGACAGGAAGCCGAGTCACAGAAAGTCACAGTCACTAATGATACAGGGTCACACAGATAATAAACAAGAGGACCAGTGTGACTCCAGTGACCACTCTTAACTACCATCTGCCACTCTGGCACCTGGCAGCACGTGGCTTATTAAGCACAGCTGCTCTAAATTATCTGTCTTGGGCCAAAAGCGCTCTTCTGAACCCAAAAGGGAAAAAAAGGTTTACAAGGAAAGGAAAAATCAGTGAGATTAAACCTAAAGAGTTTACCCATCCTAGGGAAGGTTAAAATGGTAACAGCAAGAACAACAGATGACTCATCTATCCATCAACAGGGGAAAATATGCCTTTCACCTTGGATGACTCCCTGAAACTATTGCTACGAAATAAAAGATGAAATGCTCCTATTATTGTAAATACAAAATTGCATGCAGGATTGTGTAAAGACAATGCCAGGTTGGGCTGCCAGAATGAGCCAACAGCATGTGATGTGCTTCCCCCTGCAGAGAGCCTATGAACAGACATGCAGTCAGGGAGGTTTCACATCACCAAGATTCCTATTCCGGAAAAGCAGATGTTCATAGCTCTGGGAATGGAATGCGACCTCGTAGCAGATGTTCATAGCTCTGGGAATGGAATGCGACTCGTGGGAGCCTATAAATGGACGCATGGGGGCACCTGTCCATACGGGATAAGATAGGCCATAAACGCCCTCATCTTGCCACGGCTCTTCTAGGCCTCTTTAGGGTTAAGACATACTCCCTTCTGAGAATTTCTGGTTCAACCGGCTTCACGCCCCAGTTTCTATGGATTGTTTGTAACCAGCTTTTGCTGCAACTGTTACTGCTGATTAATATCTTGCTAATCATGTGTGATGAAAAGACCGTGGTTCTGTTTTAAGGCTCTGTTAGAAATTACTGATGCACACACTATACTGTAAATTCTTTTTTTTTTTTTTTTTTGAGGCGGAGTCTTGCTCTGTCGCCCAGGCTGGAGTGCAGTGGCACTATCTCGGCTCACTGCAAGCTCCGCTTCCTGGGTTCACGCCATTCTCCTGCCTCAGCCTCCAGAGTAGCTGGGACTACAGGCACCTGCCACCACGCCCGGCTAATTTTTTTGTATTTTTAGTAGAGATGGGTTTCACCGTGTTAGCCAGGATGGTCTCGATCTCCTGACCTCGTGATCCACCCACCTCGGCCTCCTGAAGTGCTGGGATTACAGGCTTGAGCCACTGTGCCCGGCCTATACTGTAAATTCTTATTCCCATATACTGTACTTCTGCATACAGATGTTATGTTAAAGAATTACTTCATCCCCATGTGACCATCTCACCTCATAATCAAACGACTCTAAATCCCTCACTAACTCACTCCCGCCTTCACTAAACTTAATAATAAACACTGGTATTTCCAGTGTACTGGCGGCTCCACGGACCAGCCGGTGACCCCCTGGACCTAGCCACTATCTTGTGTGTGTTTATCATTTCTCGACCTGTGCTGATCCACCCGAATAAAGAGAGAGCCTCTGCATTGTAGGTTGCTGGCTAGATCTCATACAATATCTGGCGCCCAGCGTGGCCTTCTTTGTTCCTCGGCTCAGTGCACTCTGACACGGGTTCATGACGACTAGTCTCAGTCTCAACGGTAAAGTCTCCAGGTATGCTTTTTTCCGACTTCTTTTTGGGTTTGTTGACTGGTATTCCAGGGTTATTATGGGACAATCACAGTCTAAACACCAGGCTTCTCTTGTCTTTTTATTAAACTTTAAACAGGATAGAATCAAGGCTGATTCTGAATAACCTTCTTCTCTTATTTCAGACAATTGTAAAACATTGTCCTTGGTTCCCTGACAAAGGTTCTGTGACTCTATGAGACTGGATAGAGTTGGTGCCACGCTCTGCCAACTCATGAGAGGTGGTGTTTTACTTCCTATTTCTGTTTGGGCTGACTGGGCTCTTATTCGTGCTGCTTTACTTTTCCAGTTTGGTGATCCTCTTCTGTCTGCCATGTTAATGCGGATGGTGAGCCGCTTCTTCTTTACTCGGTAGCTGACTTCTACTGGCCCTCCTTCTGATGATGAGGAAGAATTCGATCTCCCTGTTTTCTCCCCAAGAGGAGGAACCTGGAGATGATCCCCTCCCTCTGCCTCCTATCTTGGAACTTGTATATGTTAACTCTTCTTCTACTAAGCCGTTGCCCCCTCTGCCAGAGGAGGATGTATGGCATTCATCTGAATGGCCTGTTTCTAGCCTCTTCGCCCTTGAACCTCTCCTCTCTTCTAAGCCTACTGTTTCTTTCTGACGCTCTGGGACTTTCATTTCAGAGGCTTGGTGCCCTCACTCTCCTTCTCTCTCTGCCCCTGCACAATGGATGTGCGAGTCACTTTCCGCAGAGCAGAGCTTCTAAACACAAGTTGGAGGCGTTAAACAACACTATGGAGCCTTGTCTCCATGGAATCCGCCTGTTGGTTGCACAAAAACAAGCCAGGAAAATGGGAGGATGGTAACAGACTTGAGAGCCGTTAATGCAGTTATTAAACCTATGGGGGGCGTTACAACCCGGTATGCCCTCCAGCTCCATGATTCCTAGGGAATGGCCTTTAATTATTATTGATTCAAGACTGCTTTTTTTGTATTCCTTTAGACAAGTCAGACCATGAAATTTACTTCACTATACCTTCCATTAACAATTCAGCTCCCGCAGCTAGATATCACGGAAAGTTTTACCTCAAGGAATGATTAACAGTCCTGCTATTTGTCAGCTGTTTCTTGGTACTGTGTTACAACCTATCCGACAGACTTTAAAAAATAATAACATTCTTCATTATATGGATGATATACTGATTGCTGCTCCCACTAAAGATGAATTAATTCAATGTTTTACTTCTTTAAAAATTAGCTGTTGCCAATGCAAGACTTCCACATTACCCTGGGATAAAATTCAATAAGCCACTCCTTTTCTGTACTTAGGAATGCAGTGAGAAGCTCGCTCCATTAAGCTCCCAATAGTCCAACTTCGTATCAACAATTCTAACACCTTAAATGATTTTCAAAAAATTACTAGGTGACATCAATTATCTCAGACCAACCCTAGGCATCCCTACTTATGCATTATCTCATCTATTTGCCACTCTATCAGGAGATACAGATTTAAACAGCCCTTGCCCTCTATCTAAACCACCAAAACAAGAGTTGTCTTTGTAGAACAAAGAGTGAGAGAGGCACAAGTCTCTTGTATCTACCCAAATTTGCCTTTACAATTTTTAGTTTTTCCTTCCATCCACTCTCCTAATGGGACTTATAGTATAAAAATGATTCTCCAGTTGAATGGGTATTTCTTCCTAATTCAGCCTCTAAACCTCTTTCAATATATCTTGATCAAATGGCCACTTTGATTGGATTAGGACATCAATGTATCAATGGCTTTGATCCAAACATTATTGTGGTCCCTTTGTCAAAAAATGAAGTTTAAAAATGCCTTTTCACATTTTTGTGCTGGCCGACTAATCTGGCTGACTTCATTGGCACTACTGATAATCATTTGCCTAAGTCAAATTCTTCAATTTCTATGAAATACTCTGATTCTACCAAAACTTACTTTCACCACTAGAGGCAGCCGTTACTACTTTTTTACTGATGGATCCAGCAATGGAAAACAAGAGGGGGCGCAGGACTAAAGATAAAGTCATTTCTACTCCATACAATTCTGCTCAAAAGCTACAGAGTTGTTTGCTGTTATCTCTGCATTACAGGATTTTGATCAGTCTCTTAATATTGTCTCTGACTCAGCTTATGTATCCATGCCACTAAGGCAATAGAAACAGCTACCATCAAAAATATTACTGACACTAATCTATTTTCCTTGTTCCCTTTGTTACATGTAAACTGTCAGAAACTGAAACCACTTTTTTTTTTTCACTCACTTTCGATCTCATACTAATTTGCCTGGACCTTTATCTAGTGGTAATCGTAAAGTTGATACTCTAGTTTCTCTAGCCATTACAGATGCAGAACACCCCCATCAACTCATACTAATGCCTCAGGTCTTAAACATAAATATTCTCTCAGTTGGAAACAAGCTAAACAAATTGTACAACACTGTTCTCAATGTCAGTTTCTTTGTCTTACCTACACAATCTCCCCAGAGTTAATCCCCTCGAGGCCTTCCTAATGCTATTTGGCAAATGGATGTTACTCATGTTCCTTATTTTGGAAAATTAGCTTATATTCATGTCACAGTTGACACCTTTTCCACCCCCATCTGGGCTATCTGTCAACCGACAAGCGCTTTCTCACGTTAAAAAAACATGTTTTCATGTTTTGCAGTTATGAATTCCTAGTGAGCTCAAACAGACAATGGTCCAGCCTATTGCAGTAAAGCTTTAAAAAATTTTCTTGATCAGAGGCATATTAAACATATTACTTGGTATCCTTATAACCCACAAGGCCGGGCCTCTTGTCAGAAAGAACAGAACTTTAAAAATTACAATTACTTAAAACAAAAAGAGGGGATAAGGAGTTGTCTACCGTTCACATACAACTAAATCCTGGAATTGCTCACGCACTTTTCTTACTATTCCTAAATCTAGTTCTGTTAGTGCTGCTGAAAAACATTTCTCTGGTAACTGTCCTACAAAACCACGGAAGTATGGGTGGAAAGATAAACTAATCTAATATAGGTCAAAAGATTCTATTTTAACGTGGGGAAGAGGCTATGCTTGTGTTTCCCCAGGTGAACATCAATCTCCTGTTTGGATTCCTGTTAGACACCTGAAATTGTGTCCTGAAGATGCATGCAACAAGACAGAGAAATCTGCCGAAAAAATGCTACAGCAGGAAACAACTAACACATCCAATGGTCAAAAAGAAGAAAAGGACCACGCTAACTCGTTTACTTACAGACAATCCAGTCCGTCATCCTGAACAACTTGTCTGCAGCGATCCAGGTCTGCCTCAACCTCTGCCTCCTCCTGATGACACTGATCCTTCTACCCCTTCCGTCACTCCCACAGACTGTTAAAACTATACATATTGGGCCTATATTCCTTTCTCCTCCTCTTATTTGAGCCATGACATGGATGGATGCTCCTATCAAGGTCTATGTTAATGAGTAGTGCCTGATGCCTGGTTCTGTAGATGATCGTTGTCCTGCCCAACCTTCAGAAGGAACTCCCTTCCAATAATACCCTTGTACCGTAGCAATCAACCCTCAGTCCTGGACTCCACTAATGGATGTCTCTCTAATAGATATTCAAACTTGGGTGGTCACACTACCATCTGGTCACTCTGTCCCTCCTGTAGGACACTTGGTATCAGGGCTCTCATTAAAACCTCTAAAACAGATCAAAATAGGAATCACTGATGATATCTCACACATCCTAATATAAGCATTTAGAACTGCGTGTCCCCTGAACTTGTCTTCAATACTGACAAATTAATATGGAAGGATTGTGTTAGTCCAGAAGGAACTGTGTTATTTAATTCTTCTCACTACACCATTGTTGATTAGGCTCCTAAAGGTCATATTACTAATGACTGCCGTTAAGGTCAAATACAGAGAGATTGTCAACATTTTCTATGATATTACTTACCAAAAAGTAGTGATAACCTCCCTATTATGTCGTATATTTAACTCCTCTTTTTTTCCTTTTCGGAAAGGGGCAGGGGTTGCTACCCAAAGCCAAGGCTCATTGTTCCCACTTAGACCTGAACATTCAGAATTACGGTGAGCTAACCATATTATGATCAAAGGAGAGTTTGGGCTGGAGAAAGTGTTATGCTAAATCCACCTTGTCACCTCGAAAACTAAGATAACAGATTGATTTACACTACTATTTTCATACAGCCAAAAAATATCACTATGGCACCATTGTGTTGTCAATTCAAAGGCGGGATAGTAAAGACTATGAGGACTTATACCCCCCCATTGCTAATGTCCCCCCACCACCTCTCGTACAACCTATTCCCCCCACCCCACATTCACAAAAAAAGAATACTATCCCAAAATATATATACTATCTATATGGAATCCAACAAAACTATACCACTTAAAAGTTATGTTAAACCACCATATATGCTATTAGTAGGAAAGATGCATATTAATTCAAACACCAACATAATTACCTGTGTTAATTTTTACTTGTATACTTGTATTGACTCATCCTTTAATCAATATCATAGTATTTTAATAGCTTCTGTGAGCCAGCAAAGGCATTTGGCTCCTGTAGCCTTACATAGGCCTTGGGAATCTTCTCCTCTATCCATGTTATTAATAATATTCTACAGAAAATTTAAAAAGGAGTAAATGATTTATTTTTACATTAACTGCAGTAATAATGGGGCTTGATTGCTGTTACTGCACCGCTGCTGCTGGAGTTTCATTACATCAATCTATTCTAATGTTCATTTTGGGGATAAAATGGCAAAAAAATCTACTCGGATGGGAATTTTCAGTCAAGTATTGATCAAAATTGGTCAACTGAATTAATGATCTACATAAACTGTTGGTATGGATGAGATAAAATTATGAGTCTAGAACATAGATTACAAATGCAATGTGATTTCGAATACTTGATTTTTGTATAACTCTGTTCCAACATAATGAGTCTGTTCACACTGGGAATCGGTAAAACATCATTTAGCAAAGGGAGTAAGATAATTTAAGTTTAGACATATACAAGCCAAAAGAATGATTTTGAGGCCTCTCAAGCACACTAACTGCTTTACCTGGTGCTGAAGTTTTAGACGGTGTCTGTAAGGGGTTATCTAATCTCAACCCCATTCAATGGGCAAAATCTTTGGGAGGATTCACTATCGTTAATTTTGTTCTGTAAACACCTTGAAAGCATATTTATTGTCTATGCAAACTGGTACTATTCTTTAATCCAATTGTGATCAGCAGCAAGCCATGATTGCTATGGTTCATTTAAATCAGAGAAAAGGGGGAGATGTAGGGAGACCCCCTGAAACTATTGCTACGGAATAAAAGATGAAATGCTCCTATTATTGCAAATACAAAATTGCATGCAGGATTGTGTAAAGACAATGCCAGGTTGGTCTGCCAGAATGAGCCAACAGCGTGTGATGTGCTTCCCCCTGCAGAGAGCCTACGAACAGACGTGCAGTCAGGAGGTTTCATACGCCCAAGATTCCTATCCCGGAAAAGCAGATGTTCATAGCCTGGGAATGGAATGCGACTCCGTGGAGAGCCTATAAAATGGACACATGGGGGCACCTGTCCATACGGATAAGATAGGGCTATAAACACCCTCATCTTGCCACGGTTTCTAGGCCTCTTTAGGTTAAGACATACTCCCTTCTGGAGAATTTCTGGTCTAACCAGTTGTCTAGCTTCACATCCTGTTTCTATGGATTGTTTGTAACCAGCTTTTGCTGCAACTGTTACTGCTGATTAATATCTTGCTAATCATAGGTTATGGAAAGACCGTGGTTCTGTTTTAAGGCTCTGTTAGAAATTACTGATGCACACACTATGTTGTAAATTCTTATCTCTATATACTGTACTTCTGCATACAGATGTTATGTTAAAGAATTACTTCATCCCCATGTGACCATCTCACCTCATAATCAAACAACCCTAAATCCCTCACTAACCTACCCTGCCCTCACTAAACTTAACAATAAATGCTGGTATTTCCAGCGTATTGGTGGCACTGCGGGACCAGAAGGCAGTGACCCCCTGGACCCAGCTTTCACTATCTTGTGTGTGTCTATTATTTCTTGACCTGCCGATCCTCCTGGTAACAAAGACAGAGACCCGTTGCATTGCGGGCTGCTGGCCAGATTCCGCAATAGGTGAGGCTAGTGAATAACTATTTATCCTCATTAGCAGGACAGCAGCTCTATTTTAGAGGTGAAGAAAAGATCCTTTACCTGAAATACCCCATGTGATATTGAGTTTTATTATCTCCAATAATAATGGTCTGGAACTCAGGAGGATCATAGTAAAACCTCCAATGAAGGTTAAAATTCAGGCCTGTTGATTTTTTCTTCGTTTTATGTTTTCCAGCAAGGATATCATAAGGACCAACTAATTGAAGTCCAAGGCTTGCAGAAAGTGAATCTATAAAGAAAATAAATTTAGACAATACTTTCTGGAGACAGATAGGAAATAATGCTTTTAGTTAGTAAACTATTTCTAAGCAATTGTCTTTAAAAGTTTCTAAAGTAAAAGAAAATCTTGAGTTATGTGTGAAGATGTCAGTTATAAACATTCAATAGAAAAGAAGTCAGAGTAACAGGAAAAGTGGCATTTACGTTTAGGATTTCCTCTTAAATTTATCACTGAATTAGCCTAACATTTCAAACATTGCTGTTGTTTCTTATTTTAGCCAAAAGCAAGACTGGTTAGCATTTCTACAGGCCCATTACCACACTGCAGTTAGCCTCAAATACTTGTAGCACACACAGGTTAAGGGAGAGAAAGATACCAAAAATGTGTGGATTAAGAGTAGTAAACAACAGGCTAGGTGCGGTGGCTAACACCTGTAATCCCAGCACTTTGGGAGGCTGAGGTGGGCTGATCACCTGAGGTCAGGAGTTCGAGACAAGCCTGGCCAACATAGCAAAACCCATCTCTACTAAAAATACAAAAATTAGCCGGGTGTGGTGGCTCACACCTGTAATCCCAGCTATTGGGGAGGCTGAGGTACAAGAATCACTTGAACCCTGGAGCTGGAGGTTGCAGTGAAATGAGATTGTGCCATTGCACTCCAGCCTGGGTGACAGGGTGAGACTCTGTCTCAAAAAAATGAAAATAAAAATAAAAAAGTAAAAAACAGTTCTATCCCCTTTCCTCTACCTCAGGTAATCACACCAGATTCCCCTGACTCTTTGACAATCTATTTGGCCAACCCTAACCCTGGATGACTCCGTCTTCCTTCTCTATTCACAGATCACAGACAGGGAGTGTTTACAAACCACAAAAACATGAAGTCTGTGCAAATGTACAATGCATAACTTCAAATGGGTCCTTGCTTCTACGATGGAGGGGAGCACTCCAGGCAGGACCCAGTTTCTTAAGGAGGCAAGGATGAAGAAAGCAAAAAAATTCCTGGAAGAGGTAATAACATGAATAGAAGCATGGAGATAATTTGACAGGAAAAATAGTTCAGCTCAACTAGAGCTTAGGCGATCATACACTAATTTTTAAAGCATTAAGAAAACTAAAACCGTCCATCTCATTAGCCAAAGATAACAGTTAATAGTCTATTATACAGTAACAAATTTCCACACTCGCCACCCCCATGAACAGATACAAATATGGAACAAACTGAGGGTTGTTTTGTAATCTGCTTTTGTCCTCCATCCTGTCCCATTTAAATTTTCTGAATATTTTTCCATGCTATTCAATGTTATTTTACGTGATTTTTTCATAGGGCATGATACTGCATTATAAAGAGGTAACCATCTATTCTCTTACTGAGGGATATTTACTATTTCTTTTTTTTGTTCTAAAATGTTTCAGTGAACATCTTTGCTAATAAATGTTTGTATACACGTATGACTATTTTTAAAGAAACAACTACACAGTTCTGTTTTGATCTACTGGCAAAATTCAGCATATGTATCAATATACATTTCCATCAATGGTGTATGACAGTGCTTACTAGTTAAAAAATTTAAATAGTATCGTGCAAAGTAATGATCGCAGCCCATTAACAGTTTCTTTATCCCTTCAGAGACAAAATAAGCACACAGAAAAGTACACAGGGATATGTGTGTACTCCCTCTCTTCACCCTCCCTTTTTAAAAAAAATACTAATGGTAGCATATTCTATACACTCTTCTTTTTCACTATTTCATGCATGAAGTTTATTGTTTCCTAAAAATCTGCTTCATGCTTTTAAAACAATGAAGATCTAATGAATAGATGTGGTATTGGTAGGCATTTAAGCCATTTCCCATTTTTTGTGTAAGTAAACATCTGCACACGTAATTCTTAGTTTATGTAATCCATAAGAGAAGTGCTTGGAAGCAGAACTGTTATAACTCCTGCAACATATGAAAGAGCTTGCTTTCCTTCACATTCCCCCAGAATGTAATGAAATTTACCTTTGCCTTTGCCAAAAAATAGGTGACAGTGGCATTACTACAGCATTAATCTATATTTCTTTCTATATTTTCTCTTACCAGAAATACCTTGGAAAATATTCCTTTTCTATGTCCAGTTTTTTTATCCTTTTTTTTTTTTTTGTTTTTTTTTTTTTGTTTTTTGAGACAAGGTCTTGCACTCTGTCACCCAGGTTGGAGTGCAGTGGTGCAATCTTGGCTCACTGAAGCCTCTGCCTCCCAGGTTCAAGCAATGATCATGCCTCACCCTCCTGAGTAGCTGGGACTACAGGTGTGCACCACCATGTCCAGCTAGGTTTTGTATTTTCAGTAGAGACAGGGTTTCACTGTGTTGCCCAGGCTGGTCTCAAATTCCTGACCTCAAGTGATCTCCCTGCTTCGGCCTCCCAAAGTGCTGGGGTTACAGGCATAAGCCACCATGCCTGGGCAATTATTGTATGTTTTAGAGACGGGGTCTTGCTCTGTCACTGAGGCTGGAGTGATCAGAGCTCACTGCAACCTCGAACTACAGGGCTCAAGGAGGGATCCTCCCATCTCAGTCTCCCAAGTAGCTGGGACTATAGGCACATGCAACCATGCATAGCTTTTTTTTTTTTTTTTTAATTTTTTCTAGAGAAGAGGTCTCACTATGTTGACCAGGTTGGTCTCAAACTCCTGGCCTTAGGCGATCCCCCTCCCTCAGCTGGGATTACAGAGTGTGAGCTACCATACCCAGCTAGTTTCCTATTACATTACCTTTTCCATGAATACAAGAATGATTCTGGAGCAACTCACCAGATGGCTTTTCAGGATCAAGTTCTTCACAGAATTTCCAGAAGTGATAGAAATCTTCAGGTAAAGAAAGCTTATAATGATTTTCTATTTCTTTTCGAAGGTCACTGGAGACATCAGCTTCACAGAATTTACTTTTCTTCTCATCAACTGTTTTTTCACACTGAAAATTAGCACACAAACTTTAGTTCTCCAAATTATCTTTAGTAATTTCAGTAACACTCCTTGCATAACAGTATCACTCACTCTTGTTCACCCAGCTCTATGAAATACATGTGTTTTCCTCAAAACTCTCTAAATGGTATTTGAGTAAAATCTGGGAATTCAGTTGGGCACAGAAAAAAAGAGTAGTTTATATGGTGGTTAAGAGGAATCCACACAGCAAGTCCTTAAATATATTTTTGTAAGATAATGGAAACCACAAAAACCAAAAAGGCAAAAAAAAAGGAAATAAAGAGTAGGAAGAGAGGAATAAAGAATTTTTCCCTCTTTTGGTTAAAGGTGTGAGTCTTTTAAACAGATTCATTGATCACACCAGAAACAGTCAGAAGTAACTGGATATAAGCCATTCATCAGTTAAAAAGCTGTTTCTCCATAAAAAAGGATGAGTTCATGTCTTTTGCAGGGACATGGATGAAGCTGGAAACCATCATTCTCAGCAAACTATCGCAAGGAAAAAAAAACCAAACACGGCATGGTCTCACTCATAGGTGGGAACTGAACAATGAGAACACTTGGACACAGGGTGGGGAACATCACACACCGGGGCCTGTCGTGGGGTTGGGGGAGGAGGGAGGGATAGCATTAGGAGATATACCTAATGTAAATGATGAGTTAATAGGTGCAGCACACCAACATGGCACATGTATACATATGTAACAAATCTGCACATTGTGCACATGTACCCTAGAACTTAAAGTATAATTTAAAAAAAAAAAAAAAAAAAGGCTGTTTCTTCAGCAACATCCAGAGTTGTATCTGAGCTATTCATTACCCAGCCTTAAAAACAGACACCTCCCTTTTGATTTTCCAAATAAAGAGGGAAAGTTAGTGACAATGTTAAACATCCACAGTTCCTAACAAAGCTAGCAGAACAGCACTAAACTCTAGGCCAAAAATCCAATTATTTCAGAAAAGGCCTTTAAATGCCAGGATTAAGTTACAATACTCATCTCTAGGACTCCCACAGTATAGGTTCATTACATAAGTATGCTAGGTTTTATAATGCCTACTAGATATTTGATAAATCTCTGTAAAGACAATATGCTTAATGGGAGGTTATGTATGTTTAGTTTACTAAGAAGCAATCTGTTTTTCTTTCTATGAACCTAGATTCTTTCTTTTTGGATTGAGTTTTTTCCTTTCCTACCTAGGGCAGTGGTTCTCAACCGGTGGTGATTTTGCCCCCCAGGGGACATTTGGAGACCTATTTAGTTGTCACCAGTCGGAAGAAGGGTGCTAGTGGGGCAGAGGCCAGGTATGTTCCACATCCTACAATGCCCAGGATAGGCATCCTCCACCAGGACTACTGGCCCCAAATGTCAACAGTGCTCAAGTTGAGAAATTCTGAGCTAGATGATTCTCATATTTATATTCTTGCATTTTTCCAGTAGTCTTAAGTTTATTAATGTTATGTCAGGTATCATTCAACGTCTACAAAATGTAATCTGATGACACAAGAATGGTCATGATGGCATTCATTCCAAGAGCAAACAAAACAGAACAAATGAAATATCTATTGTTAGGAGTATAGTTTTAAGGTTTCCAAACAATAGACAATTACACTTAATACTACAGTTGACCCTTGAGCAACAAGGGTTTGAATTTTGTGGACCCACTTATACATGAATTTTTTTTCCAACCAAATGCAAATAAAAAATACAGTATTCTTGGGATGCAAAAATCCACTTACAGAGGAGGCCAACTTTTCATATACTCGGGTTCCACAGGAACAACTTTGGAACTTGGGTACGCTCAGATTTTGGGATATATGGAAATGTATTACTGCATACTAGACTATTAACTGTTTTCTTTGGCTAATGAGATGGATGGTTTGTTTTCTTGTTGCTTTAAAAATTAGTGTATGCTCTCCTAAGCTCCTGGAACCAATCTCTGTCATGTACCAAATGGTTACTGTATGGCTACACAATATGGACCAATCTATATTATATATTTTTAATGAGGAAAAAAGCCTTTGATTATATGCAACATGATAGCCTTTTTATGAAGTTCAAAAACTAAGAATAAATATTGTTTAGGTATACACTCATAGGAGATAAGCCTATTTTTAAAAGGCAAGGGAAAACAAAATTCAGAATAGCTACATCAAACATAATTGACAGGAAGAAGTTAGGCTGAACCCATAGGAGAGGAACACGTCGAGATGTAGAGCTGTTGTCTTGTTTCAGCTTTGAGGTTGAGCAATGGGTTCACAGCTGTTTATTACTTAACATAAATAAGATCAAAGACAATCATGAATATAGTAACAGTTTATTATGCTAAGGATTATAATGTGTCTGATTTATTAAAAAAAAAACACACACAACACGTTGAACAAAAAGGCTGTTGAAAAATGAATCCAGAAGTATCAATAACAGCAAATAGTAAAGATCACAGTAAAAACAAGTAGTAAGTCATACTTCTTGAGAACTTATTTTGTGCTATTTCACTGTTCTAAGCACCTTCTGTGGATTAACTCATTTAGTCCTCAACTGTCTCATCACTAGATACTATCAACCTCATCTTACAGCTGAGGAAACTGACGTTAACTTCCCTATGTCCCTAACTAGGAAGTGGAAGAGAAGGGATTTAAACTCAGGTTTAAATCTGGCTCCACAGCAGATTCTCAACCACTTCACTATGTTGCTTCTCCAACAGCAAATATAGAACAGTAGGAATATATGAAGTCCTGAGCTATCCTGTCTTCTGTTTTTACAACAGTCTTTGTTCAGACTTTCAAAGACTGGCTCCAACTGAAGATGTTAGAAAAGGCTGAATCTCCTTGCTGAAAGGAAGTTTTGCATAATGGTTAGGTTGCCTGGGTAGACTCCTGACTCCACTGATTTCCAACCTTAGGCAAGTTACGTAAGCTCTCTGTGTTTTGTTTTCTCATCTGCAAAAAAGGGCATACAGTGCCTATATCACAGGGTTGTTACAAGGAATGTTATTATATGTAAAAATACACAGGACAGTCCTAGCACATAATACACAAATGCTGGCCTTTATGGTTATAGTCTCTATAGACTCATCTTCATTTCTGGTATTGTATTTCTAGTTAAGCACATCACTCCACCAAAGCAGTTCTTCACTGCACCTTCAAAAAGAGAATTTTTTCAGCTGTGCCTTAACTCACACACTAGTTCAGCATCTCCATATCCCTAACAACTAGAATTTAGAACAGTTGTCCCCTTCGGAGGCTACTCTTCTTCTTTACCCTGGTATTCCTAGAGTGCATGCGCCAATATGAAGAATGCCTATATGCACGGCCCTTTAACAGTTAATTAACCCCTCTAAGACTGTCTCACCCTGTCCGATTTATGGCACTGCCAGAGGAATTTTTCTAAAACTGTAGTTATCACAACGGCACTTCTTTCCTGCCTGATTCCCCTTATTGCTACTGTGGAGGTTACAGAACTTCCGAAATCGTAGTAAAGTACGAGAGAATGCACATACTTTCTCGTCCTCCCCTCTCAGTAGTGCTTTTATGATCAGGTCCCTCTTTCCCACTTCCCTGGCTCTAGCCAAGCCGAACGCCCCGCTATGCCCAAACATCTCCTACAGTTTTTTGTCTCAAAATCTTATTCATCTGCCTTCAAAACCCTTTTTCAAAGAGTTGTCTTAAAAGTCTTCTTTAACACTCCCTGGGACTTGTTAAATCCTCCTTCAGTGTTTCCATAGCACTTTTTACACACCAGCTTTATAATCCCAAACAAAAAAGTAACAGTAGACTGCGTATTCGCTTGTGCCCCTCCTCCCCAGGCCGGGGGCTCAAGAAGCAGGGGCAGGCGGGTTGACCCCGAATCCGCAGCGTCCCGCACAATGTCTAGAATGTAATCGGTTCCCCATCAATCTGGTTGGGCGAATGAATGAACCGCCGGCTGGCTTAATCCGTTTCCCCAGGAAATGCGCCAAGAGGAGCTGGACAGAAGACTCAGAGGCGCTACTTTCCCTGTCCAACCCCCTGCAGGGCGCGAAACAGCGGCCCTGGGCAGGGTCCCCGCAGCAAACCGCAGCCCCCAGACACACAGCAAGCTTAATAATCACTGGATGAATGAAACGCGCTGCCTCCTGGTGCCCTGGCTGTCACCCAAAGCGCCCCGCGTAGCCCGCACAGCCTTTCCGGCAGTACCTGCGGCCCCTCCCCGCCGGGCCTGCGCTTCCCGCCACCGCCGACCATTCTGCAGCTGCAGCGCCAGCAGAATTCCCCGATACGCGGCCGCTTCCGAGCGCCCCCAACTGCTTCCGGGTTCAAAAGCCTCCAATCCGAATCTCAGCGCCGCTGGGGCGCGCCAATTTAGGGGAAAGGCTCCGCCCATTCCCCGCCCCCTGAGACCTGGCGCCGGGCGCATTGAGGCCCCGCCCACTCCCCTAATGGGCGCGGGAAAGGAGCGTCTTCTGTCCGCGTAGTCTGCATCTAGGCTTTCAGGAGCGTCTTCCAGGATCGCTCTAGAGACCCCTAGACTCCTGAATCTGAATCCGTTAGAGTGGTCCAACCTTCCTCTTGAGGTGTCTACTAGAGGCAAGTTTGGATGTATGCGGCTGTCCTCAATACAGCCCCTTCCTTGTTTTTTCTTCATTTATATTTACTTAAAATATTAATCCTTTTCTCCTTCTCCTCCATCCCTCTCTCTCCCCTACTTTACGGTTATTGGCTTACACTAATTCAATCCCGATTATCTCCAAGAAGGAAATCAATGTCTGTCGGTCTCTGTCTTCGTACCGTCGTCTTATAGGTACAATTTGGACTGTTTTTTCTCTACACCCCTGATATGCAAAGTGTAGTACCTGAACCAGCAGCCTCAGCATCCTGAGGGAATTTGTTAAAAACGCCAAATCTCAGGCCCTACCCCGACTTACTGAATCAGTATCTGCATTGCAACAAGAACCCCTGGTAATTCCTATGCACATCAAAATCTGGAAGGCACAGCTCTCAACTGATGTCCTTGGGCCTCCTTCACATCCGTCGTGGGAAGGTCTTATTCCTCATTCCTGAGATGAGTTCTCTATTTCCTGAATCTGTGTCTTCCTTTTTCTTGATTATATATCCTCATGTTGTGGAACATAGCCGCCAATAGTTCCTTAAGGGAGGCTGCTGCCAGGTCTTTTTTCCCACGGAGCGTGCATGTCTGGAACTGTTTTTATTCTGGCTGAGCACAGAGTTCTAGGTTGAAAATAAGTTTCACTCGGAATATTGGAGGGCTTGCTCCACAATATTTTAGCTTCCAGAATTGTTGAGAAACTCTACGTCATTGTATTTCCTTCTCCTTCACAGGTCACTAAATTTCTTGATATGTAAACCGTTTTCGTTTCTGTTTTGTTTTGTCTCAAGAAGCTTTAGGATCTTTTCTTTATTCCCAGTGTTCTAAGACACAATCTAGTGTCTTGGTTATGGGTCCTTTCTCATTCCTATTGGTCAGTTTTTCAATCCTGAAACACATGTTCTTCAGTTATGGGAATCCTTCTGGTATTATTTATTTCATCATTTCTTCTATCCACCCCCTTATTGTATCTCTTCTTTTTTGAAACTTGTTATTTATGTCGTGGACCTTCTTGGCTGATGTTTTTTCTTACCTGTCCGGCCGTATTTTCTATGTCTTCATCTTTTTATTCTACTTTCTCTGTGACTTTTTCAACTTAATTGGACAAATGACTATCAGATTATTTCTTTATTATACCTTTATTCCTAAGTGCTCTTAATTCTCTGTTCTTTTATAGCATTACTTTATTTTTCATGATTATAGCTCCTTTTATTTTTGAATATGTCAATTATAGGGTTTTTAAAAAATGCTTTCTACATAACTCTGCATTGACTTTGTTTCTTTTGAGTCTTTTTTGGTTGTTTGTTTATATTTGGTCCCTGTTGTTTCTGCTAGAGACATTCTTCATCTTGTGTGGTGATCCTTGCTGTCAATTTATATGTAAAATGAGGCTCTGAAAGGGTGCTTTGGGGACATAGACAAGGTTTGTTCACTGCTGGACAAGGTGTAAGATGATGGGGGCAAGGACCAGCTGTTTATTTTCTTCTAGAGACTAATCTTCTAATTACTCCCTTCGAGAATATACAGACTTCTTGGAGCCCAATGCGGGAAGGAGGCTGGGAGTCTTAATAATTTCATTATATGCACTGTATTAGTCCGGGTTCTCCAGAGAAACAGAACGAATAGATATCTACTTATCTATATCTATACCTATATCTGTATCTAGCTATCTATTAGCTCATGTGATTATGGGGGTTGAGATGCTGCACAATCTGCTGTCTGCAAGCTGAAGACCCAGAAAGCCCATATTGTAGTTTGAAGCCCTGATAACTGGGGAGCCGATGGTGTAGATTCCAGTTCGAGTTTGAAGTCCTGCAAACCAGGATGACCGAGGGCAGGAAAAGATCAAAGATTCAGTTCAAGAAATCTAGCAGAGAGAGAGTGAATCCTCCCTTCCTCTACCTTTTTGTTTTATTCAGACCTGAATGGATAAGATGATGCCCACCCACATTGGTGAGGGTAATCTCTTTTACTCAGGGCCCTCACAGACACTCAGAAATACCGTTTAACTGGGTATCTGGGCATCCTGTGGTCCAGTCGAGTTGACACATAAAATTAACTCTCCACCGGGTGTGGTGGCTTATGCCTGTAATCCCAGCACTTTGGGAGGCCAAGGTGGGTGGATCACTTGAGGTCAGGAGTTCGAGACCAGCCTGGCCAATGTGGTAAAACCCTATCTCTACTAAAAATACAAAAATTAGCCAGGCATAGTCTCGCGTGCCTGTAGACCCAGCTACTTGGGAGACTGAGATACAAGAATCACTTGAACCCGGGAGGCGGAGGTTGTAGTGAGCTGAGATCACACTGCTGCACTCCAGCCTGGGCGACAGTGAGACTCTGTCTCAAACAAAAATACAATAAGATTTAATTATCATGCATACCTTCACTTAACACCACTGTTTCATAATAGCATTTTTACCTTTAGCTGTGTCTAGTGTCCCTGAATCCATATTCTGGTTCCATATCTCCCAAAAGAAACAATCTTCAGGTTGGGAATGAGGGATAGAGAATGTTTCGCTGACTTTGCCCGGGGAGGAATCCAGGAGTCTCAACTGCTTCTGGGACTTTTAATGGTCTCTTTTCAGCTCAACCCACTGAAGACGTGTGGTACTTCCAATTCCTGAGCCATTGTGAGGTTCTGCAGTGTCAGTGAGCTTGCTTCCAGGCATCACCTCTGAAAACACTTGGGTTTCAGTTTTCTCTGGGAAGTCCGTATGTTCGCCAGTATATTAGCTCCCTAAAGCTGCCATAACAATTACCACAAACTGGGTGGCTTAAAACTATGGAAATGTATTCCCTCACAGTTACACAGGCTAGAAATAAAAAATCAAGGTATCAGGAGGTTGATTCCTCCTGGGGACTCTGAGGGACAATCTGTGCCATGCCTTTGCTTTAGCTTCTGGTGACTGCTGGCAGTCCTTGGCGTTCCTTGGCTTGCAGATGAATCACTCCAATCTCTGCCTCTGTCATAACGCGTTCTCCCTGAGCATCTGCCTGTGTCTAACTCTCTCTTTTTGTAAGGACAGCAGTCCATTAGATTAGGGCCCACCCTAATCCAGTATCACTTTATCTTTTTTTTTTTTTTGAGATAAGAGTCTCGCTCTGTTGCCCAGGCTGGAGTGCAGTGGTGCTAGCTCGGCTCACTGCAACCTCTGCCTCCCGGGTTCAAGCAATTTTCCTGCCTCAGCCTCCTGAGTACGTGCCACGAGGCCCAGCTAATTTTGTGTTTTTACTAGAAACAAGGTTTCACCATGTTGGTCAGGCTGGTCTTGAACTCTTGACCTCAAGCAATCCACCTGCCTCAGCCTCACAGAGTGCTGGGATTACAGGTGTGAGCCACCACACCTGGCCATCACTTTGTCTTCTTTTGATCCATTCACACAGATCCTATTTCCAAATATGGTCACAGTCAATGTATCCTTTGGGGGGATGCAACTCAACCCACATCAACTGATATCTAAACTTTTGTGGCATTTTTCTGTTGTCTCTTCTCCTCTTTTCTTTGTTTTTATGCGTATATGGTCCCTCTGTCCCCTTTTTAACCTTCTTTATCTTTGTTTTAGTGAGGCTTCTTAAGGAGTGGAGGAAAGTGGATGTTTTCAAGGTATGTTAAGTATGTTAACTGGAGGATTTATTATTGCTATTTTTCAGTTGAATAACACCAGGTTGGCAGTTGTAACCTGTAAAACTGCACTTATTATACACAATTTCAAGTTCAGAACTAAAACTTTGCTCTGAATAATAATTTGTAACCATCTTTTATAGAATGTGAACGAAATTTCTATTTTAATTCAAACATTTGACATTTAATATATTTTCTCCTGTTCATATGTTTACTCCACAGTGATTTTGAAGGAATGGGTAGAGTTGACCAAATTTGGTATATTCAGGTTATCAGTGTCTGTCATTTTGAAACAAAGTTATTATTAATAAATGTTTTATATCTAATACTTACTATGCAATAGAACTGTTCTTTTTTAATATTTTTAATTGACAGATAATTGTGTATATTTATAGAATACAGTGTGGTGTTTTAATATATATATACACAAACACTGTGGAATTATTATATCAAGCTAATTTACATATTCATTACATAAAATATTATTTTTTGGAGTGAGAACATTTCAAATCTACTCTTCTAACAATGTTGAGATATGTAATACATTATTATTAACCATGGTCACTATGTGGTGCAATATATCTCAAAAACTTATTCCTTCAGTCTAACTAAAATTTTGTACCCTTTGATCAATATCTCTGCAGTTCCCACTTCCAACCCTCAGCCTCCGGTAATCACCATTCTACTCTCTACTTCTGTAAGTTCAGCTTTTTGATTCCACACATAAATGAGGTTATGCAATATTTGTGTCTCTGTGACTGGCTTATTTCACTTAGCATAATGTTCTCTAGTTTCATCTACGTTGTCAAAAATGACAGAATTTCCTTTGTTAAGGCTGAAGAGTATTCCATTGTATATGTACCCACATTATCCATTCATCTGTTGATGGACACTTATGTTGGCTATTGTGAATAATGCTGCAATGGACATGGATGCCTAGATATCTCTTTAACATGTTGATTGCAATTCCTTTGTGTATAAACTCTGGAGTGCAATTGCTGGATCATATAGTAGTTCTATTTTTAGTTTTTTGAGGAACCTCCACACTGTCATAATGGCTGTGTTAATTTACACTCCCACCAACAGCGTAGAAGGGTTCCCTTTTTCTTACCTTCTCACCAACCCTTGTTATCTTTGATAATGTCTATTGCTATTGTAATAGGTGTCAGGTACTATCTCATTGTGGTTTTAATTTGCATTTCTCTGATAACTAGTGATGTTGAGCATTTTTGAATAAACCACAATAGTACGAAGTGCTTTGCTGAGACTAACTCATTTAAGCCACATACCAGTCATGTGAGGTAATTTCTATTTCTACTACCATTTTACAGATGAGGCAGCTAACATTCAGAGAGGTTCAGTGAATTATCCAAAGTCACACAGCAAGCTCTGGAGGTGGGATTCAAACCTGAATAGTCTATCCTTTCAGAGTACTTTCAACGCTATGCAATACTGTCTCTCTAGCAATCAGCCAGATTGAATAAGGTCTGTAGTTCACAGAGCCACTTGCATTTTTAATCCTAGTTTAATTAACTTAGGAAATTTGTATCTAAAGGATGCATCTTAAAAAAAAAAAAAATAGAGACAGGGTCTCACTATATTGCCCAGGCTGGCCTCAAACTCCTGGGCTCGAAGCCATCCTCCCATCTCAGCCTCCCAAAGTGCTGAGATTACAGGCATGAGCCACCATGTCCTGCCAGGATACATGGGTTTTACTGTATCCTCTGAACCTCCCTTTAATCAAGAGATTAGACAAAACTGTGGGTCCCTCATTTTCAAAATGGCCAGTGAAAGAGGAAATAAGGATATGCGATGTTGAATTATTCTGCTGCCCTCTTTAAGTTGATTGGGGACCTCTTCGTCACTACTTTGGGAAGATAACTTCTCTTATCCACGAGGGCCAACTGGAGCTTTTCTCATGTCTTTATTGTTGCTGGGAAATTTTCAAATAAAATTCACTGGGAGTGGTTTGAAATTGCAGAATTTTTAGCCTCCCAATGTTTTGTTTTCCTCTAGTGAGTTTGACATAAGTAATATCCTCTTTTGAGATTTGTATCTTTGAAAGACATTTTTTTTTTTAAGTTTCTCAGTGAAACAAATAAAAAATTAGAAGGTGGCTGGGCGCAGTGGTTCACACCTGTAGTCCCAACACTTCGGGAGGCTGAGGCAAGTGGATTACCTGAGCTTAGGAGTTCGAGACCAGCTTTGACAACATGGCAACACCCTGTCTCTACTAAAAATACAGAAATTATCTGCGCATGGTAGCACATGCCTGTGGTCCCAGCTACTCAGGAGGCATAGGTGGGAGGATCACCTGAGCCCAGGAGGTGAAGGTTGCAGTGAACCAAGATTGCACCACTGTACTCCAGCCTGGGTGACAGAGTGAGACCCTGTCTTGAAAGAGAGAAAGAAAAAATTAGAAGGATATCAGTTTTATTAGAAAAAATAAAATAAAAGTATTTTAGAAATTGCCAGTTTCCCTAGAAGTAAGCCATAATATGTCCATAGCTTTGTATCAGATTGCTGACTTTGCTTGGGGAGAAAATTATATTTGTTTGCATTATTCTTCCTTTTTTGTCAAATCTGGGGTGACACAATTGTCGTCAATATACTTTTAAATCTATGTCTTCATTGGGAATGATGCTAGTGAGCTTATGTAGAAAAATTATCTGTATGAAAGCAGAATTGATTGGTGATTACCAGAACCTTTGATTTTTCCCTTAATAATTATAATCTGATATCTTAAAATATGTGTTTTTATAGCAATCCATGTCAAACAAGATACATAGAATGTGATTCTGTAGAATACTAATAAATGAGAATTCAGATGTGGGCTACCAGAACTATAGAGTGACAAGTAAAATAAGTGAAATGTGAGGGTGGCATGGGTCGAGGTTCTCAAACCAAACAAAATGCTAAAAAAGAAAAGGATCCTAATCACAATACAGATTTAGAGAACACACAACAATAGTAGCTATGAAATGTATATCTTTTAGATCTAAAAGTTACTGGATTTGCTATGTAGGCGGTAGTCCTTGGTGAAACATGGATTAATAAAAGACAGAAAGCGGAAGCAAGAATTCCTGTGTATTCTTTAAGAGTGTCTGATTCTAGCATTCATCTAAATTTAAGCTCTAGATCAAAGAGAATATTTTTAGACTCGGCGCGGTGGCTCACACCTGTACTCTCAACACTTTGGGAGGCCTAGGTGGGCGGATCACCTGAGGTCAGGAGTTCAAGACCAGTCTGGCCAACATGGGGAAACACTGCCTATAAAAACTACAACAATTAGCCGGGTGTGATGCCTTCCGCCTGTAATCTCAGCTACTTGGGTGGCTGAGGCAGGAAAATCACTTGAACCTGAGAAGCAGAGGTTGCAGTGAGCTGAGATCGCACCACTGCACTCCAGCCTGGGCAACAGAGCAAGACTCTATCTAACAAAAAAAAAAAAGAATATTTTTAAGAGGAGTTTTTTTTCTTTTCAATCTTTGTATACTTTGAAGGCCATAGGTGTCATAGCTAGCTTCTTAAGCATTTCTTTCTTTCTGCATTTGTTATGAGAGCTGCTGAAAATTAAAGACGAGACAGGATGCCACTTAGGATCACAGGACTTGGAGTATAGCCAGACACCCAGCATTAACGTGTGTTAAGGGCAGGATAACCGCAGAGAGCAGCACATGTGTAAGGAATTACAGGCTTTGCCAATTGAATTTCTAAGGTTCTAAATGATGGGTCTGGCAGTCAGGATTGAGCTGAGTCCCTGTGACTCACGCTGTTGGCTACCCCTGGAGGATAAATCAGCTTTGAGAAGGCCCAGAGCCCCCACAGCATTATGATTCTGATTCCCAAATATGCTGTAAAATAGGACTTCTTTTAGGGGCTATTGATAGTGGGGGACCTAATTAGGGAGATATGGGTGATTGTATTGTAGAAGAAACAGATTTGGGAAGGATATATTTGTTGTCTAAATTGCTGTATTAAAAGTCAGCGGAAGCTTCAGGCAGAGCTGATCCCACACAATTGTTACTGATGGGCTGCAAATGAGCTGTAGCATTAATCTTTGACATCACACTCTTGGCCTTACCTTTGGCCACTTTGACTCTGTCAAATTATACCACTAAATGGTGATAAAACTGGTCTGCCCAATTATGCTTAATCCAGATCAGTTACCCTGGGACCATGTAACCTTTAGTTAGCACTAGCTGGATGATCCAAACATATCTTTGAAAGGCCCCAGAGGTTCCCCAGTCTTCATATTTACAGTGGATGAAAAGTCCAGCTGATTCGCCAATTCATTTCTTTTCCTACCACAATTTCTTAGAATCTAGCTCTGAGCACAAACTGGCACATAATGGGTGCTCAGTAAATATTAATTGACTTATCGACCTCTTTGATGAATAGCAGTCACCATCATTAAATAGTTACTTGCCCATCCTTTCATCCATTCAGTCATTTGTTCATTCAAAACATTTATTAAGTCCCAATTATGTGTCAGAACTATGTTAGGCACTGGAAAGACCAAGATGACATAGTTGCTATGTTCCAGGAGCTTATAGTGTACCTAGGAGTCCTATAAATGTACAGTCAGTATTCCTGCTAGTCACATAGAAGCGGTGTAAGAATTATGTAAGTCTTTATCACACTCCAGTCTTCCAGACACATTGCTCCAGAGTAGTCTCTTTAAAAGAACTGATCTAATCATTTTACTCTGTGACTGTCACAGAGTTGATCAGAAAAAAATTCTGAATGACTAGTGTTACCACCAGGAAATAAGAAATGATGCAACAAAGGGCAATACGGTAGAGAGCAAGCTCAGTTAATATGAGGAGTTTGCTAGGTGATGTTACCAGGGAACATCAAAAGCAGCAACTGAGATCAAGATCATGGAAAATAGCCAAGGAAACGGGAACTGGGAATGTAGGGAGCAGTTACTAAAAGGATCCAACAAGATATTACTATTGAGTAATTGCCTTATACAAGGTCATTCTCCTCACCCTCCAAGTTATGGGTTTAATTTCTGAATATGAAGTTATACATTAATTTTAGGGCTGGGTGCAGTAGGTCATTCCTGTAATCCCAGCAGTTTGGGAGGCTGAAGTGGGAGGATCACTTAAGTCCAGGAGTTCGAGACCAGCCTGGGCAACATAGCAAGACCCTGTCTCTATAAAAAGTAGTAATAATTTTAGAAAATTTGAATAGTATCTAAAAATAAAAAAAATTAATTATATTATGCCACCTAGATGCAACCTCAGACATTATTTGGTATATTCAGTATTTTCCTATATGTGTCTTATTATAGTTTGTTAAATGAAATAATGCTGCACATAAAATTTTGTAACAGGCCTTAAAAAGTAAGCTTTATAACAAATAAACATTGTAAAAATGCTTCATCAATATTTTAATGGCTACATAAATATGCCATTGGACAAATGTTTGATAAAGTAATTAACTGTTCTCATAGTCATAAGTTTTTACCATGTGTCATAACTATTTATTGCTGTGTATAACTTTATGGTCAACATGTTTGTACATAAAGTTTTAAAAAATATTGTGGAATATTACCTTTGTCTAAATTCTTAGAGGAACTGCTGGCTCCACAGACAGGAATAAACTTAGTGTCATAATCCATATTCCCAAATTGCTTTGTAAACAAGGCAGTTTAAAATTGAAACAAAACAATGTGCCACATTGTGACTAGAGTTAAGAATATTGTATTGCATATTTAAAATTTGCTAGGAGGGCA